GTGTGTGTGTGTTGTGTGTGTGTGTGTGTGTATATTTACAAAATAACATTTATTTTTTTCCAAATGTAGCTCAGTTACCACAGGAAAGTGAAGTGGCCAGCAATGGTCCAACCAATGGCAAAAAGCCAAGAGGGCGTGGACTTCTGCGATCTCTACTTTGTTGTCTTGGTAGAGGACGTGGGAGTAGTTCAAAAAGTTCAAAAACAAGTTCGTTACAAGGAGATGGACATGGTTCTCCATCCCTAAGGACTGGATCCCCACGGTTCCTTCTCCCACCTGTGAGACATCAGGATATGCACAAGAAGTGCATGGTGATTGATTTGGATGAAACACTAGTGCATAGTTCTTTCAAACCAATCAGCAATGCCGATTTTGTTGTTCCTGTAGAGATTGATGGGACAGTGCATCAAGTATATGTTTTAAAGAGGCCTTATGTGGATGAATTCTTGCAAAGAATGGGTGAACTATATGAGTGTGTATTGTTCACAGCAAGTTTGGCTAAGGTACATCATGTAAACAATTGTTTATTATCATTAGTTTTATATTTAAAAAGTTTCTTTCTTCAAAATCCAAAATTTCTGATATTTACAGTATGCTGATCCAGTAGCAGATCTGCTTGACAGATGGGGAGTATTTAGAGCAAGACTGTTTAGAGAATCTTGTGTTTATCACAGAGGAAATTATGTTAAAGATTTAAATAAACTAGGGCGGGATTTACAGCACATTATTATTGTTGATAATAGTCCTGCTAGTTACATTTTCCATCCAGATAATGCAGTAAGTTTTTATATAAGAAATATACAAGAAGAAAGAAAATAATTGAAGATACAAATTATAAAACAAATTTATTTTTAGGTACCAGTGGCATCATGGTTTGATGATATGACAGATTCAGAACTATTAGATTTAATTCCATTTTTTGAAAGGCTGAGTAACGTGGAGAATATTTACACAGTCTTGTGCAATAGTAATCATCCTTATAATCAAGTATCTCCAGCTGTACAAAGTAGTCCAAGCCCAGGGTCAGGTTCGCTTGGTGCTTCCTAGCCCTACCTAAATTCTGGCCACATAGCCAGTATTGTCATCGCTCAATGCACTCTGAGAAGAATTTTAATTGGAATATTCCACATTGCTTGCTGGTTATGTAACAGTGGACATCCACTCTGGTAAACTCTTAGTTTCTATACAACATGAATTACATTTGTTTTATTGTTGATTTCAATACTTTCTTTTGGTAAATAATAATATAATATAATTGTTCACAGTGTGTCAGATAAAACAAACTGATTATATTTATCTACTTATTAAGATACAGGTAATTGATAAACAAGAAATTCTGAAATAGTTCAATTGGTTATAAAAAAATAACTGTCAACCAGATTAAAATTTAATAGATTTCGCATACAATTTATTGGTTACATAATAAATTAATGTGAGTGTTTCTATGTTTGATGTACTTGAGGAAAAGAGTAAATGGCAATGATGTGAAATAAGTGTGAAAAGTAAACATATGTTTTATATTAAATAAGTGTGTGCGTGTGTTTATGTGTGTATAAGTGCGCGCGCGTGTGTTTGAGCTTGCATATAATCTAAATTTGTGCAAAACATAAAGAGTTGTTTGCACAACAAAATAAATCAAAGTATAGTATTAATTAATACCGAAAGAAAAAGCCAGATCACTTAAGTAGAATCTTTTGATGGGCCATTATGGTTTTTGCCTCTGTATATTTTAATAATTTATCATAGTTTTCTTTTTTTTTTTAAATACTTTTATCGATACCATGTGTAAAACTCTAGTAAGTTGTTGTATAATTGTAAAAATTGAATAACAAAATAACCAATTCTTATATTATTTGATGAGGTTAATAATTTCAAATAGTTATAAAAATATTTTTAAAGTCCTCGTTTATAATTTCAAAATTTGTTGAAATCCTGTGTGTTTGACTCAATGAAATTTTTTTAGAAACAAATAAAAATAATTGATCTTTTTAATTTTATTAGTATTTTATTATATACAAGAAATAGAGCTTGCAATATTAAATCTGATAATATTAAAGTATTAAAGTATTATTAATTAGTGTGAGTGAAAAATATGAGAAAAAGAGAATATGAAATTTTGTTTCCACCACTTTATTTTATTTTAACTTTATATCTTAACTTCATTTCAAAGAACAGTAAACAAATAATACAATGGGAATTATATAAGATAAAAAACAATTTCTATATGTTTCAACATTAGGTCAATGCATATCATTATTTCCCTCCAAACAATTATATGAATAAAAAAGCATTATGTTAATCATTACAATATCATTATCAACTTAGAATTATTTAGATATAATACATAAAGTATAGATGAGCAAGGAATGTACATTTATACATGTAAATACATGTACTAACAGATAATCGTCAATTTTATACGCTTAATTTGTGTATAAGAAATGTACAGTTAGCATTATTCTTTCATATTCAATCAAATTATCATCTTTCGTGTCTTTTTATTTTATTCATATTGTTGCTAATATATTCATCATTATTAATGATATAATAAATAAAATTTTATTGCTGTCGTCGTTATTGACTTAGTTTCAAATATCATACTTTATCAATCATGTTATTAAATTTTATAAAAAAATTTACAAAAATGAATAGACAATGAAGTATAATTTCATAAAGTCTATGAAAGAATTTTCTATTTATGTATTTGCATCTACCATATTCATGTCACTTGCATCTATTAATGTTCATTTTATTATAATATCAATGTATTTCTATTATATATTTTATGTAATATAACGCAAATATTTGTAAATTATTATAAATTATAGTTTATCTTCTGAAATTTCAATATTTGTTTTGCATCTTAAGATAAAAAAGACAAGACAATGATAACTGGAAACAAAATTTTCAGTCTGTTTTATATTAAAAAAAAATTGTAAAAAATTTTATAAATTTTAGAATAAATTTATTTTTATTTTAAAATAATCTTTCAATAAAATGTCACAATTTCATATATTTCTGGTAAAAAGAAGGTAGTTTCCTTCAATTTTAACTTAATATGAATCTTTTTCTTCATTATTTATCTAATATTATGTTGCTATTTATCATTTAGCAAAAGTAAGCTATTAGCGTGTTGTAGGTTTTCATTTCATAAAAAAGGGCTAAGGTGTACAGAGATAATAATAGTACATAACAATAAGTCTTACACATATTACATAATATTAAATGGCTTCCAATTACACATTTTATCAGTTATTTATTACATGTTATATGGATGTCTTTTAAATGGACCAATATCATTTTCAATTAGATTCTACTTTTAAAATAACTAAAAATTCACGTAGATAAAAATTAAGAATTATCTTAATTATGAATAATATTTTTATGTAAAATCATTTTAATACAATTTAACCCAAATATGCAAGTTTTTCGCAACACTGTATATAAATGTTGAATGTTCATACCTAGACCTTAAGTTGTTAGTACTATTATATTTACGTTGATTACTACTCATATTTAAGAAGAAACGGCATATTATGAAACATTTGTACTTAGCAAACGTACCTCACTACCTGTGTTTGATGAAACTCAAAACTCTTAGAATGTTTAATTTAATGGTTTTTAAATTATGAAACTATGCAATAATCATATCCTTATGTCAATCTTGATTTATACATTTATATAAAATGATAATTGATTCTTAAACATTTCCAAAATACATTAAATTTGAGTATAAATAAGATTACACGAGTAACAACATCCATAACTAACATGTATGAAAGTGTGGTCATTTTCATTCTTAAAATGCCCATTGAAATGACTACAAATTGTGGTGCATTTTCTGAAAATGCGTACGAAAAACACGGAGGATTTATTAAGGAAATTTTGTGAATTCCAATTTAAATCGACATCATTGGATTTTTACCTAAGTATTTTTTATAATGCACTCATTTGCTACCTAAAAAAAGCTATAAATCTAAGATATGATATACAAACGATTACAATGCGATTTATACAGTCATGTGGCAAAATCCTAAGAATTATTTCTATTTTTATTCTTTTTTTCTTCTCTTTTAATTGGAAAAATCATCTTTGATACTATATGATAAGTTTTTAATGTGAAAAATATATTATTATAAAGTTTTGCCAATTTAAAAGATTGAGGGTATGTATGAAAATACAAGGCTAATGTTGCATCTGACGAAGATTGCATTCCTTATTGGATTTAACATTACACCCAGAACATATTGTACATTAAATATCTTTAAACATCTGTAATATCATTTTCAGGAATTAATTAACAATAACAATCCAGTATATTGCTTTCATGGAATGTAATCTGTCAGCCAATTGAAATGAATATCCGTAATATTTCGTAATATAATATACATGCGTATTTTTTTAAATCTTTTCAAGTATTTTGTTTTATTCTATTTTATTATCATCGACATTATCGTCAATATTATTATTATTATTACTGTTGTTGTTGTTATTATTATTACTACGAGTACCACCACGACTACTACTACTACTATAATTATTACTATTACTGTTATTATTATTATTATTGTCAATTCTACTACTACTGCTACTGCCTCTACTAAACTAACACTACTACTGCTATTCCTACACCACCACCACCACCACCACCACGACTACTACTACTCTTGCTACTACTATCATTACCACTATTACTACTACTACTACTACTATTTCGACGATGACCGCAACCACCACGACTATTGCTATTATTGTTGTTGTTGCTGCTGCTGCTGTTAGTACTACAATTACTACTACTACTGCTACTGCTACTGCTACTGCTACTGCTGCTGCTGCTGCTACTACTGCTACTGCTACTGCTACTGCTACTGCTACTGCTACAACAACAACAACAACAACACTACTGCTACTACTAGTATTGTTATTCTTATTATTATTCTTACGATTATGTTTATTATTATGGAGTTGTAACATGATTGTAGAGGCGCTGCAGTAAAACTTTCAAAATAATGGCTCATATGCTATCAATTGAATACGATACATTTAGATTCATTATGAAAGAATGTGTGCCGAGAAAACTGTTAACGTGCGGGCGTAGTGAAAATGACCGTGATACATAATTAAGTGTGTGCGTGCGTGCGTGTACGCGCGCGCGTGTGCGTATGCTGGGTCGGCGCGAGTGCATGTGTGTCTGTGTTTAGGTAGACCAATTAATTTTTAATGCGCGATACTTTTGTACAGCAACGCAACAGTGTCTTCGAATTCGTAACTCTGCCGCTGTAATCTGACATACACATATATATATATTTAATACATATACATATAAAAATATAGGAGTTGTTGCTCTTATACGTAAACAGGATCATATGATAGTATATTTTCAATTAAATTCAATTATATACAACCACTTATTTATATGATTGGTTACTTTTACGATATCATTCAGTGTACAAATGTATGTCTTGAATATTTTGAGGTTTCATTTATATACCGGTGATTTTATTCAAATTAATTCTCGTTTGTCGTTTCTAGGAATATTGGTTCTATGAAATGTAAAAATTTACTTAGAAATGCATGATGAAAGAAGAATAATGGAACTGTAGAAAATGGAAAAGCGAAAAGTAACGCTAGGTTTACGTTACTTTCATTGCGCGTTTATTATTGTATTAATTTCGAATAACTATTGTTACCAGTTAGGTTTGTTAAAAAGTATAGAAACTATTCGATAATGATAAACGTGTTGCAAACAGCAATAACGAACTGCTAACATTTTTCTCAGTGCCGGAATAAATCGTTACTTCGCAGCAACTTCTCTGTAGTATGAAACGAGCAAATATGTAAAAGAATATACTTTTTAAAGAGAGAAAAAGAGAATACATGCATGTGTGTATGCGTGTGTGTATACGTCAGAGATATGTAAGCATGAGAGTGTAATTTTAAAAACAAAGTAAAAGAAAGATGAAAACCGTCCGCCGAGCAGCGGACGAATATCGAAATCGTAACTTTTTATATGCAACCAGATTAAATGAAAGTGAACGATGAATAGAAGAAACAAGAAGTATAAAGAAGCTTGAAGTTCCAGTTGTTGCCTGTTGCATCCTGGGCAGTTAATAAATTATTGTATTATTGTTATATATACATTGTACAAAAAGAAAACTATTCGTCACAAATGGAATGAAATTACTAGAATTCATAGTATCTCGTCGGGAAAAAACGTGACACGTAACATAAAATGGAAGAACGAACAAGAATAACCAAGAAAAAATACTGATATAGAATGAGACGCGGGTATTCATGTATAAAAAAAAACATAATTAACGATATTGCCTTGATTTGTAAATAAAATTTAATTACTTCCACTAATATAATATTCTCTGCGAATACCGAGCGGGCCATAATTTGCCCATGCGGGCTCACCCCCTCCAATTTCATATGTTTTTTACTAAAGGTTCTAGCTGACTTTTTAACAGCGATAATATTTTGTACAGTAATGAAAGTCAAACGCACATACATACACGTACATATTATATATGTATGTGTACGTGTGTTGTGCTTGGTCTGTGTATATATTTAAAAAATGTGGAGGTGAGCCCTGTGCATTGTACCAGAAGAATCAGCTAGACTATGTAAACATCTCTCGCCCCTCCGACATGTCCAGTTTGCTCTGTGATTCTGTGTTTAATAAAAAAAAAAAAAGCAAAAATATATATATATTATGTATATGTATATATATATATTATGTATATGTATATATGTATATGTACATATACGTGTTTGATAAACGAATCTAATAGTTCTTGCATGACCCTCTACTTAAAATGTTTCCTAATTTACCGGTTATTGTATGTTGCATATAGGACAACAGTTTTCGTATCTATTCATTTATAATAGTAAACTTTAATGAATTCTTCGGATAAATATTTTAATTTGATATTCAGGCTTATAAGGGGGTATGTGAAATTCATTATTCATTTCAATTGTATTTTTAACATAATATTGGAATTAAACTAAATTAAAAAGCTACATTGCCTAAAAACGTTGCTGTAAACTGAAGTTCAATGATATGTAATAACTTTGACATCAATATTGATTGGCAGTTTTAAGTGAAATTGACAATATGAAATTATATTGAAACAAGAAAAATGTTAAAACAGGTACTAAGTAAAATTACTATTCATTGTGTTTGTTATACTTAGCTCCGTACTGTTCTGCACGATATCATGGTATTTAGGTCAACTTGCCCGATCACACGATTAATTTTGAAATTGGATTTCCGTAAATACCTCAATGTAAAGAGGAATGTCATGACTAACGTACAATATATATTAATTTCTGATAAATTATGTGTCATACAAATATTATTAACATATAGGTATGTATATGATGTACCACATGTATAGGGTAGTAATGAAAAAAATAGATTTGTTACAAGTGACATGTAACTTTTTGTAATATAACATAAATCGTACAATACTTTGGTAACCATTGAAAGAAAAGGTATCTACATTTTGCAAAATTGACGTAATTGCCATATTTATATATATTGTTTTTACATGAATCAGGTAGGTTTACATTTTACTAGATCCATATAATTGTATGTTTTTATTTTTCAATTATCTAAAAATTATTATTTTTTAACTACATTATATATTATTAATTTGATATGATTATAAATAGTATTTTTCTTACAATTTAATTTTAATTTTTATACCAAACAATGAAACTAATATATCTTACAAATGTACTTTTCATACTAAGTATGTATTAACATTTATAGTTAAATTTAAATTTAAAAAATAAAAAAGAGGGTACGTGAAAACACTACCGATATTATAGAACACTGCTATAGTAATAATTGGTAAAATCAATAAATAACATAAACTTTAAGTGAAAAAATTTATATATTAAAATATAAAATATGAGATTTCATAAAATCAATATCCAATATTTTCAATTGTTAATAGTGAAAACATGAAAAAATATTTTTTTTTTTGCAACATTTAAGGAAGTAGCATAGTAGTATGATACTACAGGTATCAACGCATTGAATAGAACACATGCATATAAAAGAAATCTATCTTTATATTTATACCTAATTTAATATTTATTTAATATGATATTTGTTTTCACCTTTAAAAAAATAATTATTGACTAAAAACATAAATTAGTAATATAGACCCTATAAATAAAATTAATTGTATATTTCTAACCTTAACGTTCAGTTTCAGTTTGTTAAAAGAAAAATTGAACATGAAATATAAATTATTTCACTTTAATTTAGTATAAAGTTTAAACGAAGGAATATTTTCAATGATATTTAATAAATATTTTATTTCATATTTACTTTCTGTATGTATGAAATAATTCAAAGTTGATAAGAATCAGAATATCATTGACAAGTTTGACTATTTTTTTTTCTGTGAAAATATAATGAATAATTTAACAGATGCACATTGGTTTCCCTTAACATCACAGGGGAACATTTACTCAATGACAAAACTGTGTTCTATCAATGGACCTAATAAAGTACTAGTAGCTTCTTTAAAAAGGAAAATATATTCATGTGAATATCATTTAATGCCGAATCTACATTTAAGACCATTGGTTAAAGAACTTCTTTTTACTTATATTCCCAGTTTGTAATCAATTATTATAGCATCATTTTAAAACTAAAGTTTTCTGCAATTAATTAAACATTAAAAATTCCTATTTGTCAGGTGGTGCAGAAATTATATCTATTGATGCTTATAATAAGTCTGACAGTGGCGATGGGTTTGTAATAGGAATAACTATTTTGAAAGCAAGCACAGATACATCTGTCGAAAGGTATTTAAATATATACACAGAAGGTGCTATAGATGGAGAAGGAGATGAAGGAAGTTCAATTGAAGCTATAGCACAAAATTGCCTTATGGTGGAATTAGCGTATACACCATACCATTTATATCATACTATATTAGCACAACAAAATACTCCTAATGAGGTAATTCTTTTATATTGGTAATGATTTTCCCAATAACATTAAAGAAAATAAAACAAAATACATAAGAAATAAAATTTAAATAAATATTTAATATTCTATAAATTTATAGCAGAATTATAACTTTTCCTAAGATTTTAGGTTGTCTGGTTACTCTCTGGTAGTGATTATAAAATACATATGATCCGAGAGGATAAATTAAATCACAGTTATAGTGAATCACCCATTGAAAAATACTTTCCTGAATTGCATGATATACATGGAATAGCAATATGGATTAATATTTACCACTATGATAATTATAATTGGTGTGATTTTAAATATATTCTAATGTATTACAAGATAAGTTGAAAAAGTATTTTAATTTATACCACATTATTACTTTTTTAGGAGACTGACGGTAATTGGTTGTGAATGTGGATTGGTAAATGTATCTATAACTAATGTTTCAGAATTAAAAATTTATCAAAGTTGGAAATTAAGATATGACAAACCTATCTCTAGTGTATCTATTTTTTCATTACAAAATAATATTGCAAACCCTTCTTTTATTAATTCTAAAAGTAATTACAATACGTCTTAAGAGAAGTGATAACTTCATTATAAATGAAAACTGATAAATATTTTCATATGTTACAGGCTCCAAATATTTTTTAAATGATCAAGAAATAAAGTTGAATGTTCTTGTTGTAAATACAAGTAATGCAGTTGTCTTTATGTAAGTATGTTGATTGTATATTACATATAATGAGAAGTAATGAAATATTTTTTTTAATTAGGGATATTTTAAGTAATGGGATGAATGAAGATATAACTTTAAATGGTAATGAAACATCTGACTGCATTCTATGTTCCTGTATTGCTGATATAAATATGGATGGCCAAAACGAAATACTATTAGGAACTTATGGTCAAGAAGTTCTCATTTTTTGTTTCATAAATAACACATGGGAATTGATTATCAGGAAACTATTTGATGCTCCTGTACATTCAATATGTTATATGGATATTACCAATGATGGAATAAAAGAACTTATTGTACTTACACAACGAGGAGTACATATATTGCAGGTTGTAATTTTTATTTAATTAATTAGTTATACTAATTATTTGTAGTAAATAGTTACATTATATAAAATATATAATAAAAATTTCAAACATTTAAAATAATAATATATATTGCAGCATAATATAATGGATGTTAAAGATAAGTGGAAGAAACGGTACAAAAAGCTTTTAGAAGAAATTAAAATATAATTTAATTTTAAATTAGTATATATATACATGTATATGTATATACAAATAATGAATGATGTCAAAGAGAATGTAAAAGATTTATTTGTTATTGATACCATAAATGTAAAATTAAATAATTTTAATAAATGTAGTTAAAAAATAACAATTATTGTTTACTTATAAATATAGATTAATTAAAAATATAGCAGAGTATATAAGTGACTCTAATTATGACTTGTGTATATTTTATTAAAAAGTTGAAACGAAATTAAAAATTTGCGTATTAAAAATGAAACGATTGCGCAACTCGTACTTTTAAATCAGCAAGTTTCACGACACATCGCATCTACACTTTATAGAATCAATGACGTGACAAGAGTTCAAAACAGTGTCGCACGTGCTTGAAGTGGAGGTGTTGTATGTGTAATTTTACATTGTGCCTACGCTCGTTATATTGTAATACTGATGATCAATATATTACATTACTTTTCGGTAAATATTACGAAAGAATTTGAAAGCTTATTTCATTCTTTTTCTGACGTAATTTAGAATGACAAGTAAAAAAGGTCATACCCTTCGAATTGAATCAGAAATCGATAAAAACCGCGAAGAAGGAAATTGGAAAAAGGTTATAGAATTGGCAGAGCACTTGAAAGTACAGTATCCCAGTAATGGTAAGTGCTTTTTTTTTCTGTTAATGTGTTAATTTACCAAAGTTACGTATTTTAATAATTTTTTGGATACAATCATGTTTTATATGGATTAATTGTTGCGTTGCTAGTTTCGTAACCTGTTTATGTAAAAAAAATCGTGTCACGAATCACATGAATAAAGGACAAATATAATTGTAAAAAAATGTCACTTTATATTAAATTTTTTTATTTTAATCATTTTTTAATGTAAGTTTAAAACATTATATCATAATTATTAAGTATTTCTAACTTTTACAATAAAATAATCCATTATTAATATTTTATTCAGATACAGTAAATTTGTTTTTAATTTCAAAAGAATTCTTAAATATATTTTATAAACTTTTATTGAAATTTTTAATGAAAAGGTTCTATGATTGTTTATAAACTATTGTATTATTAATAAACAGATAAATAAATATTTGTGATTAATACTACATTACTAAGAAAGTATAAATTCATAATAAAATATATAAAATAAAACTGCATATTTTTAACTGTGTATTCATAAATGCTTTTGACTTTAGAATGTTTAGCAAATTTTTTATGTGGGGAAGGACGATTAGAGAGCTTTTTAGAACAAACTCCACCTATAGATGCTAACATTGGAAAAGCTAGAAATGGACTACAAGAAACGAGAAGATACTTAATTTTAGCAGCAAATGAAAAAGATAAACAAGTAATTATAATTTTAATATATTACTTCTACATGAATACTATATAAAAACTTATCTTTGTGTAAATAGTTAGTGAACAATATTTTAAATTATAGGCATTAGTTGTATTAGATGCCCATTTATTACTTGGTAAATTGCACTATGCAATGGGAATGTATGAAGAAGCACTTAAGCATTACCAACAAGCTGAATTGCATACACTTACGGAGAAACCATTACCTTGCAGAAGTCTACGCATTATTGCAGAATCATATGCAATTAAAGGTTTACATCAGATATTATTTAAATTATTTAGTATATTTCTAGTATGTACTAGTGCATTTAATACCACATATAATAGCTTGCCATTTAAATAAAGGAATGATCTATATTTATTATAGTTTGATGTCTTATACATTTCATTTAACAAATTTCTGTTTTAATAATTCTGTGCTTTAGGATATTCAATTTGTGATAAATTGGATAATGTTGCACCTAACAAAAATATTAATGCAATAAAATTTAAAAATGTATTTTTTTTCTTATTGACAATCTATACTAAGTACAAATCTTCTCATACACAATCTGAAGGTAGTACTAAATTCAAATCTAGTATTTGCACAAATAATGATTTTTGAAAATGTTTGCTATTTGTTTAGTCTTATAACTAATATACAACTTAGAGAAAGAAAGATTGTTTACTTTAGACACAGAGAAACATTTATCCTGCCGAAGACTGCGCATTATTGCTGAGTCATATGCAATTGAAGGTTTGTATTTTGCTTCATTTTTATTTCTTTTATTTGCCATTTGTAAGTGTATCCCATTCGTTTTATTTTTCCTTCATCATTTAAAGTGTTATTGTATGCTTTGTCATTATACAAAACATTGTTCTTAATGCAGTAACCCAAATTAAAATTTTAAAAATGTATTGTATTGTCAATATTAATTTATGCTTAATTATATTAATTTCAACAATTCTACTCTTAAAATGTAAACAGGATATATTTTGATTAAACCACAATACTACATATTATTATAATTATCCTTGTAATACAAATTATTATATTTTAAATAAGTTTTAATTTAGTAATTTTTATTCAAATTAAGTAAATAAAATTAAGATAATAAAATGGGCGTGTTTATCTGCAAACTTGAGAAATATTAATCTGTTAATGGTAATTATATTTTCCTATTTCTACATAGATTACTTATTTGTTTTTGTTTTAATCTATTTTTTAGTATTAAATGCATGTTTGTAAAAAATATACTTTTGGTGCCTGCTGTGCTTGTAATGCGTGTTATGTAAAATGGAAATATAATAAATGCATGTATTGTAAATAATTTGTTTGTTTCTATATTATAAAGTTTATTAATAAAATATATATTTATACTTACTAATATATTATTTTTAATAATATTTATTAATTATTTATACTATACATAAATAACTGTATGTTTATTGCATAAAATATTATGAAATGAATCATTTTAACACACTGTATTTTTTATGGATACAATTCAAAAATGTATAGTTTCATATCAAGTATATGTTACTTTTCTTTTCTGTTAATCGTGTCAATTTTTTTTATAGTTGCTCCTTTTTAATAGATTTTTTTATTTATGGCAGGGCTTTGTTTTGAAAAGTTACCACCAAATTCCAAATCCAAGTATAAAATAGCAGAGTGGCAAGAGCAGATCATCAAATGCTATGAAATTGCTGGTGACCTAACATTGGTATATTTACAAGAACAGGATAAACTTGCAATGCAACATCAAAATGGCACATGTACCGTAAATAGTAACAATGCAGGTAATGTAAATTTATTTTCAACTTATTTTTTTTCGTCAAATAATAATAACTAATTCTTACTATTTTATGATTGATGAGCATATGAACAATATTTTAATTGATAGTAGGAATATACAATGATTATAAAAATATAGTGATAGAAAGCATTAAAATAAAATTATTTTGTAAGAATATTGCATTAATTAAGTTTATTTACATTTTTTCAGGTGATATTATAGGATTGTTGGTGGAATGTGACAAAACTTGAAATTTAAGTTTTGTAGTTAATACTTTAATATCATTTGATCAACAGGTACATATTCCTCTCAGTCTTCGTTTTGTTCTACAAAACATATTGGGCCAATTTTGGAAACTGCACTACAAAGGGCACCCATATTGTACATTCAAACTGGTAATATTCAAGGTGCAATTAATCGTTACAGGTAATTAACTATTTCTACTAATAAAAAAAAATGCAAATAAGAAACTAATAGCAAGGAAACGACATTAATAATAAATGCAGTGTTTAAGAAATTAAATAAGCAATTTTTATTTATGTAATTAAATAATTTATAAGGGAGATTTTATCTGCTGTGGAGTCAACAACAACTCAAAGCCTTAGGGTTACTTTGACAAGACAATTAGCAGAAGTATTAGTTCGAGGAATTAGTGGTGCTGAATACAAAGCTCCAGAAGCAGTAAGTGACTCAATAGGTAATATTAATAAAACTTTTGTTATTATGATAAAATTTAAGATAAATAGGAAGTAGAATGTTAAATCATTTTTATATTTTTTCAGATTCGCCATGGAAGCCAAAGAAATATTTAGGTCCTAATATGTTTGTGCCAAGAAATGAGTATGAAGAAACAATTTTATTATTATTAATAAGTGAAGCTATGGCAGTTAGAGATGCTGTACTTAGTCAATCTCCAGAATTTAAAGATGCACGAATACATGCTTTTGAAAATGCCACTGCAGTATATGATCTTCTTACTGTAGTTGTCGTAAGATGGAGTCAAGTGGATTTATTATATGAGGTAGTTATAATGAAATGAGCTACTATTTAATTTTAACTAAAACTTAATATAATTTTATATCTTAATAGTCTTTTGAGAGAGCAATGAAATTTTCTCATGAAGAAGTACACGTGTGGACACAATGTGCATTGTGTTTAATTAGCATGGGCAGATATGTACATGCATATAGGGTTTTAAAAGTGGTAGCAAAATTATCACCACAGAAAGTAATGCCTTGTCTTTTAGCTGCGAGACTGTGCTATGAGGAATTAAATATGGTAAGAATTATTTTTTATTATATATGCACTGTATAGAATAATATACTAAAAACATGTTCAACTTAAAATAGATAAAAGAAGGTATAGAATGGAGTCAAAAAGCACTACAAAGAGAGACATCAAATTCTCAAGGGATGCAATCAAGATGTCATCTTTATATTGGTATTGGTCATAGTATACTTGCTGCAAACACTATAGTAAAAATGGATAAAACTTATCATACAAAAACAGCTTTAGAATGTTTTCAAAAGTATGTACAATTGAATTCTAAGTAATAAGTTAAATATTATAATATTATATATTTTTTAATAGGGCCCAACAATGTGATCCAAACGATCATTTAGCTGAATACTACCTAGCTCACGAATATGCAATTAACAGACAAATTAATGAAGCAATGATTCATGTAAAAATTGCGTTGAATCTTCGAGCAGAACACATTCCATCATTGCATTTATTAGTATTACTACTATCGGCACATAAGCAATATTCAGAAGCATTGCATTTAATAAACAGCGTATTAGAAGAATATCCAGATAATTTGAATTTTCTTTATGTAAAAGCACATCTTGAATTACGAAGTATTGGCGGTGAGCAAGCATTGTTTACCATAAGGCACATGCTTTTACTTTGGAAGAATCTGTATGAAGATCAAACTAATGCTAATTGTAACGAGCAGCACAGTGAGAAACGAAGCGAAACAAGAAGTGTTTTTCAACTGTATGCTTCTGAAATGTCTGATAAAGATTCCAGTATGTATTCAGTATATTTTATTAATTTGTAGCTTTCAAAACTAAATTGTTCCATATACAAATTTTAAATAAACAAAATTTTAAACAGGTTCTCTACACGCACAATCATTAGCTGCTTCAAGAGTAGAACAGGCTTTATCTGAAGTTGCATCTTCACTTAGTTCTTTTACTCCAAAGCCTGGACCACAAAGAGCATGGTTGCTACAATTACAAGTTTGGTTATTGCTTACTGAAGTATATTTAGTTTTAGATCAACCAAATGGTGCTGTTCTTTCTTTACAAGAAGCGACGAATATTTTTCCACTAAGCCACCATATTATGTATACAGTAAGTTTAAGTAATAATATTGAATAAATAGCAAAATATAATTAATTTGCTTTCTATTTTATATAACTTAATTACCTGAATACTATATCACAATTACTTTTCACTCCAGCGTGGTCTTCTCCATGAATATAAATTAGAATACATGGAGGCAAAACAATGTTATCAGAATGCAGTATCTATTAATCCATCACATATCAAAAGCTTACAACATTTGGTAAGTACAGTTTGTTATTAATTTATTTATTAATTTTTTTAAATTTATGTAAAATTTATTAAATAATAATTATTACTGCATTGAATAGTGTATAATTTGTTAAAAATTATTTTTATTACTAGGGATTAATTTATCATTATTTGGGAAGTCAAAGGTTAGCTGAAAAAACTTTACGAGATGCTGCAAAAATCGATCCAAACTCTCATCAAACATGGTATTAAAAAATTACTTCTATTTACATTTACAAATAAAACAGTATGATTTTTATATGATTTATGTCATTTTTTATTCGAATTAGACTTTTTTATTTTATAGGTACAATTTAGGAAAGGTGTTGGAATCCTTAGGTGAAGTAGAAGCAGCAAGTGATTGTATGGCTACAGCACTAGAAGTAGAAACTACGAATCCGATATTACCAATCCTTACAATACCAGTAACATTTGAATGATTCAAAATTTGAATTATTTAAAACAAGATATAAAAAGATCCCGACTTATTGGCATTTGTTTGCTTTTGGGGCAATAGTACCTGCTTATCTCTAAACTGTTGCATTATTGTATAAATAAGTAGATTGTTTAAAAAGTATTAGAACTGTTCAAATAATTTACTGATAATTAATGTAAAAAAATTCTAATAAAGAAATAGTTATGAAGTAGAAATCTATTATTTCTAATCAATTGTTTTCATATATCTAACATGATAAATTTTTATCACGTCAATTTTCATTTTCCATTTTAATCATATTTTTAATATAGAAAGCTACAACCAAATGCTTAAGATCATAAGCGTTCAATAAATGTTTATAACAAAAGTGATATTTCATAAAAATTACATTATTGTGAATTAATGTTTGTTTATTTTTCAATAATAAATTTAGAAATAATTTTAAATAAAAGTTTGCAGTTTAAGTTATTTAAATTATATTATTCAAAAATAAGTACTTATCAAAAAATATTAAATAAATGTATTAAATAGCTTACAAATTATAATTGTATCTATGCTTTTACATATATTTGACAAATATTTTTACAGTGAATATTAATTTATGCAAATAAATTCTCTAATTTTTATACTAATGATTAAATTTTATATTTTTTAAATTATTATTTTTGATAACTCAAAATTATAAAAAGTTCAAAAATTGAATATGTTAACATTATAGGACATAAATGATATTTATTTGTAAATATTAATGCTTGTATATTATTCTTAACTTTTTTAATTTACTACTTATTTTTTATTTATTTGAATTGCTTTATCAACGTTTTTTTTATCATCAAAAATTGCAAAAGAATTTTAATAAATAAGAAATAGGAAAAAATCTATTCAAAATATTGGAAAAACAAGAATATTACAATATAATTCATATTATGACGCAATGTAACACATCTGTATGTAACTTTTCAATAAAATCACTAAAATGTGATTGTTTAAAAAGTCAATTACATATTTTATATTATTAAAATACGAAAAAAAACACTGCACCAAAATTATGAATTTAATTTAAAAATATCCTGAAGTAATAATCTACTTTATAATATTTATATACAAAACAAATTTATACCTTTCTTATTTTGTATTATAATTACGACGGTTATTTATATAAATTACTCCAATATTATTTGTAATATTAATTAATCAAAGTGAAACTTTTTCAACAGTGCAATCGATATTAATCTAATAATCACAGGAAGCGCTAGATTTCTATAAATATGATAAAAAGTCAATTTTTTTCTACACCAGATACATATTCAAATATAAAGCCGTTTGAAGTTATATCATTTTGCAAATTGAACGCGGTATCAAGTTTAATACCAAATTTCGTGTTAAATTAACACCAATTAAACGATACATCAATGAACGTACGGTATAAAATTAACATACTTTGCCATGAACCCATTAAATTCCCTTCCTTACCGTTAATCGTGAACGCTGCTATGCGCTTCTCCATCCCCCATTCCGTCTCTTTTTAACGAAATTACAAATCTGCCTGTCCTACTCTATCGTGTGTCGCATTGCGCGTTTATTGGTGCGCAGGCTCATTGCAACCGAACCACAGAACTTTTTCGAAAACCTTGCTTAACAGCAAGCCGGCCCTTTGAGAAACTGCGTCATGAATCCATATTTTCTGCGTCCTATCAGGTCGGGCATCGATTTTTCTCAGTAACGATGCCCAAAAACAGCGTTTCGTAGATAGTGAGCCCGCAGAACGTCGTACCGCGTCACGTTTAGCGCATCACGCATCTGCAGAGCTTACGGCTATGCGTAATACAATCGACCAACTATTATCATCTTACTCTTTTTTTCTTTTTGTGTTGGTCGAACGACACCTATACAAGATTACAGAAGTGCTCTGTTTCAAAATTACAAAGATGTAATAATACGAAATACATAGAAGGCACAACTGTAGGTTAGGAATTTCAACACTTTCTAACATACTACATTTTTACATATAATAAAAAAAGATATATATATACCAAATTTTTTCTATGGTCAGATTTTTTTAAATAGTCTTATTTTCTAAATTTTAAATTTTTACAGAATATTAAATAATACCTGTACAAAAATTTTTTTAAATTTCAATTAAAATTGTAGTAATTAACTAAATATTACATATAATTAGGAAATAAGAGTTTATATGAAATATCTAAACTATTATATAATTTTTAGGAGATTGTGACAAATATAAATTTCGAATTTTTCAAATGAATATCGTGTACACGCTTGCATGTCAAGTTACATTCGTATTTATTACCAATATGTGTTTTGTACCGTAGTTTCCTTTGACAAATCTAAAATGACCTTGATATACTTTCAAAAAATTGGCGTAGAGGAACCATCACTTCCGTTAGGTAGCTAAGTACATACGTGAACGTTCTTTTTTGTCGCACGCATGCTCATCACTTATTATTGATATCGCGAACATCGTGCGACGGCGTTACCGCATATCGGTCACGGCCACCGGCTAAACTGTTAATTATCTATTAGATACGAATGAAGTTTACGAATATCGATATTTAAGTCATCGCAATTTTAAACAAATCAAAAATTGTAATGTGCAAGAAGCAATTTGTTTCACGCTGCAGATTTAAAGGATTAATACCTACGCGCAGCTATGTATAAAGTGAACGACTTAAAAATTTTTGCTTTATCCATTTTATCTTAAATCATGATATATTAAATAAAATGATTCGGGGTTAGAACGAAATTACATCTTTAAACTTGAAATATATTTTATTATTTCGTTTGCCAAATAAAAATTTCTGACTAAAGATGCAAAGAAGTTGCCAATAAAATAGATAAGGTTGTAATTGATATAATTGTACATTGGTTGCTATAACATGGTAACATTATAACATACTACGTAATATGTAATTAAAATAACGAAAAATTGTATTTCGTTGAAATTATGTAAATTATAATTTATTTTATTTCCAATGAATTTGTATAATTTTAAATATTATAAATAATTTGTCAACTTTTCTAATCAAAAAATAATTGTTTTAAAAATTTACAGTAAGTGTAACCGAGTTTAAACATTTTAAACAGAAATTACTTATGTATCATACTTGAACAAACATCGAGAAATGTGTAGCATTCGAGAATAACATTGTTCATTGTAATTTAAATCTAGAATATCTACTAATTCGTATTAACGGTGAATTATAAAAATATTTTAAAAAGTAAAGTTTTATTTGCATATTAATCTTGGATTGTAATCAGCAATCATAAAATGATCAATTTACATAACAAACACTTCGTGTGAAACAACTTCCAAATGACTGTAATTTCCAACAGTGTTTCTTTAGCATTCTATCACATTTTTATGACGCGATAAAATTAATTTGTACAATATAATATACAGATTAATCTGGATTATTTGATAGCAATATTTAAAATAGTTTTAATAATTCAACAAAAAAATATTTCAAACAAAAATTCATCAGTGTCGAATAAAGAATTTATTGACGTAAGTTTTAAAGATACATTTTTTGTGTGAAAACTTAGTTATTTTGTGTTTTTTGTTTAACTGTATCTGCTGACATAAGAAAATGTTTTATTTCAATTATCCAATATTAGAAAATTTAATTTGCGTCTGAATCTCAGTTCAGATTCTCTTAGTAGGACAATTTACTAGCGTAACTCAATTTTATCCAGAAAAGTTAACAATTATCTAGGGTCTTTTAATTGCAAATGTAACAACAATAATTAGTTTATTGGACATTTCCTTCTTTCCTCGTGCATAGAATTGCGAATTCGTCATTCGCATTTTTGTCTTGCGCGTCATGTAATGATCGCATTCAGTGTAATAAACCAATACAATCCTATGGATTGAATTTCTGTCCTTTTAAAGAAGTGATCAGTCTTTATTTTATATCATCAGTTTTCTAATATGTTCATAATTCGTACGATTAGCACGATTAATACAAATTTTATTCGAAAATTTACTTACATACTTTTATTCCGCTGGATTTAAGTTGCATTGAATCGTAATTAAATTACCAATTTTTGGATTAAATATATACCAAATCAGGTTTGAGAAAAATGATAATTTAAATTTACATGAAATTCATATTCGTTTGAAAAATGATTTGAAAACGGAATTAAAATATCGTTACACGTTAAGTCTTTCTGTAAAATTATTAAGTAATATCAATCTAATGGAAAATGCAAATAAATGAATCAATAATAAGCTACGAATTGTATCACGTCGATTTAAATTCATCCGTTGATATAATGCTATGCAATTCAATTAAATTTATGCACATTCATATGTACATATGTAAAAAATAGGATGTTAATTTTTTTACGTATTCTTTGTTTTATTTCTTCCTTTCTTTTCTTCGTTAATCTTTACGTGTGTATCGAATGAGACATGTTTAAATTTTTTACATAGTATAATGAAGATGGAAAACACTGTTAAAAGCTATCGCAGGCGATTAAATATTACATCCGATGGTAGTTTCTTGGGTAGAAAGCCCATTCGCCTAATCGCACTATATTCTTTTATCCAATGAACATGTACGCGTATTATTTTTATTTAAGAAGATATCGACCGATTCTATGAAAGGACATTGAAACCGCTAGCACTTCTGGGGTTAACGCAAGGGATGCTCTACCTGAAATAGGCCATCTAAATATTTTCTTTTTACTAAACTTGAAAATAAAATTGTGCAATTTCGTAAAAGTTTTAATAAAACGAAAATTTCTGACTGAAAATTTAACAAATTTATGTAGAATATAATTAGTATATAATGTAGAATTATAATGTAGAATATAATTAGAATATTTATATAAAACAGCGAAAGTTAAAGGTTTATAATGTTGAAAAATTATTGTAATTTGTATCGTTTTATTTAATCAACAAGTATGTATAAATATAAATTGATATAACTATGTGTATCATTAAGTGTATCATATTCAAATGAACGAAAAATGCAACGGTTTAGAACAAAAAGGGGTTTAATTGAACAAAAGTATCGTTTCCATTTCATTCTTCTTGCACACTATGGATTCATGATTCAGT